TTTTTTTTTCTGTATCGTTCCAATTTTAACGGATGTCCCGAAGGACGAAAGACCAGAGAGTTTAAGACCAGGTAACGCAGCTTATGAATTCCAACAAGTTATTACAAGAGCAATAAGGGTTCAAGTCACCAGCGCTCATCAGCGCATACCAAAGATAACCAGAAAACAGCATAAACTCTCAGGTGGCAAGTATCTCTTCCTCTCTACTCTTCTCTCTTGTGTATGTCCTCTCCTTACTAGTCTTCTCTCTAGCTTTGTCCTCGCTGTATCTTCTCTCCCTACATGCGTGCACACTCACTAACTTCTACTCAAGGATCTACTCTGAATACACCCACTGATAATCCTACTATCTGCAGTCTACTACTAACACTCTGCACTGGCGCAGCTATGGCTGCCCTCTCCCTGCCAGCGCTAACACTTCCTCTCTCTCTCTCTCTCTCTCTCTCTCTCTCTCTCTCTCTCTCTCTCTCTCTCTCTCTCTCTCTCTCTCTCTTAGCACAGCACTCTGGCTTCAGCGCTCTGCCCTTCACTACGGCACACAAGTGCACCAGCACTTCCCACACTTCTTGCGAATGAGCAATCTGCCCAAATGGTAGGCTGGCCAGTCCTTTTGTATTCTTGGATTGCACTTCAACTCGTGCCAGCGGTCTCTGCTTCCTGGGGCCTGACTGGGTTCCGGTACCACATCCCCACGGCCTGTCTGCTTCTGAATGTCAAGGCCTGGAACAGTGGAACCTTCCCGAATTTCCATGGGTCTGCTGCCTGCTTGGGCGTTTGAGTCCTGACATTTTGATTTTAGCATATGGTTTTGACTGTGGACTGTGACTCCGGCCTCTGAGATATGACTCTTGCTTGTGGAACTGCCTTTTCACTCGTCGGATGTGACTCTTCAATTTGAGTTTTCATTATGAGACGCAGTGACTTTTGTCCCTGAGATGTGACTGTTTGCTGGTGCTGGGTGCCTGTTGAACTGGACTGCTGAGGTACCCGATTGTGACTTTTCTGAATTTGACTAATTTGACCAATTCGGCCTTTCTTCGCCAGGGCCTCTGACCCTGTGAACCGAATTTGGGATCTGAATCGTGAAATACCTTTCAATACATATACGATATATATAATAAGTTTAATAACAATAAATAATTAAACATAAAATAAAAAATTTGCATCTTACCTCAGCCCAGTCTGGCTGAAGCTCCGTTGCACCTGCAAACCAAAGCAAAACAATTTACAAGAAACCGACCGTTAGACCAAAAGTGAAAGTCAAAATTTGACAAAAGTCAAAACCATTACAGGGAAAAAAAAAAAAAAAAAAAAAAAAGTCAATGTGATGGACGGGAAGAAGGGCGACTGCAAACAGATACGGCGTCACCACGCCACTGTCAAAAGAAAGCGGCTAGATGCTTCCGTTGCCATTCATAGCGACGGATGCATCTTGCCACTCTCTGCTGGAAGATGCACTGGTACATTTTTTTGTTTGTTTCAACAGTGGTGTGGCCACATGTTTTTTCAACAATTGTCAATTGTTTTTTTTTTTTTTGTTTGTTTGTTTTTGTTTTTGTTTTTTTTTTGGGG